AAATATATTTTTTCTATATATAATATAATTTAAGTTTAATAATAAAACAATTTATTTTTGGTTTAATATTATAAATTTTATAAAGATAATAATTAAGTATTCAGTTAGAATTTAATGATTATACTAATTATATTTTAGATTTTTTATATTTAAAATGAATTGTTTATCCTTTATTTGATTGTGTTTATCTGCAGTTAGTTACACGAATTCAGATATGGGAAAGGTTTTAAAAAAATTTAAGAGTTTTAATCAAATGCTTTATAAGATAGTATAGATATAGATTATATTTCTTTTACTTTTAATATTTCAGAAGGTAATCTGAAATAGATTCAAATAGCAACATCATATTTGTTATTATATCACCCAATTTTTATATGTAAAATTACCATAATGATAACTGTATAAGTTTTATAACTTGAACTTCTTATTTTTTATTGATAATTATTTTCGTCACATCTATTATTTATTTTGTTAAGGGTGAATTATATATTTGGTTTCTAGTGAATTTTGATTTTCGTTTTAGAGCCCAAATTAATCTCTCCTCCTAACATTGTTAAAATATGTTCCGTTAAGTCAGTCATGTGTCCCTCATGTGAGAGGCATTTTGGTCATATTACCCCCCTTCTTATTTTCTTTTAAAAAAATAAAACAAATCAATATTTTATATTTCTATATAATAAATAAATATAGTATATAATCCCCTCCCTCCACTTTTGTCGTTGAAACTAGGGGTGCTCATGGGTTGGGTTGATCGGGTTGTGGACATTTGAACAACCCAACCCAATGCTTGTGGTTTGGAAAAATCTTAACCCAACCCAATCCAAACCCAAACCAAAACCAAAGTGCAACCCAACCCATACGGGTTGGTCGGGTTAATCGGATTGATATTTTGGTATATTAAAATATTATTCTAACCTTGAATATGTTATTTCTCTACTCATAATTTCTTTTTCATCATCAACCATTTGATACAACTTATTCATATTTCTACGTATATCACATTCAATTAATTTTCTCAATTTACATATGTATGTTCACAGTTACTGAATGAGTTATATAGAGATATGAATAGATTGAAAATATGTGTATATGAAGAGCATACATAATAGTATAATTGTCTAATGTATATATTAATAGAAATTCAACAATTATATTAGGGTTTTTCTAACCCCACCCCCTCCTATAGGTGCATGTGAGGGGGGTGAGTATGTGAGGGTGAGAGTGAGGGAAAGTTGTGAGGGTGAGAGTGAGGGTTGGTGTGAGGAGGAGGGGGTGAAAAGTGATGTAGGGGGGWGGGGATATCAACCCCCTTATATTAAATCCAAGAAATAAAAGGATATCGGGTTCATCGGGTTGGGTTCAAATAATAGTAACCCAATATCAACCAAATACCTACGGTTTGACAATTTTACAACTCGATTAGATATTGGGTTGCTTCGGGTTGGGTTATTTCGCATTGAGTTAGGTTGGGTCGATCGGGTTAGTCGAGTTAGTCGGGTTTTTGAGCAACCCTAGTTGAAACCATGTCCATCCTGTTGAACGGCCGACCAACTGCCCTCCCCTTTCTCCAGCGAAATATCTGCCCCTTCACAAGTGAACCCTTGTCCCCCTCCCCCTCCCCCTCCCCCTCACGATGAATCTCCCGTTCCCTTCCCCTTTCTCTGACGAAATACCTTCCCCTTCCCTTTCACGGTTAACCCCATGTCCCCCTCCTCATTTTCCTGCTAAACCATCATCCCCTTCCCCTTCATTGCCACTCTCTTGTCCGACAAAATCCCTTCGCTCTCTTGTACCGCCCACAACTAATACCACCATCAATTCTCGTGGTTCTCGATCCTTCTGGTTCCTTCCACTTGGATGCTGATTTTTTGGTAGTGATTCATTTCGTGATTTAGATTATGAATTTATTAGCTTAGGGGTTTTTGTGATTTGGATTAGGGTTTTTCAATTTTGATTATTGAGTTTGTGTCTGCTTCATGATCCAGGACCTCCAGGTTGACGGCGGTTGGTTTAGATTTGGGTTTTGCGAGTCTGATTCTTGAGTTTTATGTTCCATCTTGTTGTTGATTAGTTTCATGGAAATGGTGGGAGGTACGTTGCAGCTGTGGTGGGTGGTAGTTGGCGTGAAGTGGTCGTGTGGGTGGCAGCGTTGTGGTGCATCATCTTGGTTGAAGAGGAAGGGGATGTGGGGAAGAGAAAGGGTAAAATGACAAAATTGCCCCACATGAGGTGCACATGATGCATTTAACGGAGATATCTTAACGGTGTTAGAAGGAGAGACTAGTTTAGGCTGCGAAACACGATTTTCAGACCTCCAATGTACTTTATGATTTTGAGGGACGAAAACCAGAAGGAGGTATTCACAAGGGACCATATATGTAATTTACTCTTTTGTTAATGTAATATGAATGAGTTAAATGCAAATTTGGTCCCTGCATACTTTAATAGACACGATTGATGCAAGGTAAAAATCAGTCCAAAACACTGTTGTAACCATTTTATCAGAATGATAGAGTTGTAGCCAAACCTGATCACCGAAGAAATCAATCACCGCCGAATTCCGGCCAGAAATTATTTCTTTTCCGGTAGACATCTCGTGAATCTGCCTCCACGACTGCAATCCGGTATATAACGTCGACAAAATCGCAATCGCCAATGCGTACCTGTTTATCATCAAATATCAAATTAAGATCAAGCAGTAGATGCAGATTGAGATACTTCAATAGCAAATCGAACCTGTATTCTTCGTACTCATCGAAATTTCTCCCGCGGCCATGCTTATTACTAGCCATGATTATGAAGGCAAGCAACGAGAAAAGAAAACCTAAAACTCTTAATCCTAGAGATCCTCTTTTGAGCATGTCTTCATGCCTCCAGCGTCTGAGGATTCCGGTGACGCCGTATCCTGGTGGCGGAGGTAGAGGCGTTTGTGTCTGATCAACATTCTGATTCTCCACCTCCACCTCCACCGATTTTGGTGGCGCTGTAGGTGTTGGCATCTTCGCCGGCGGTGGTGACGATAAGAATGATGACATGGAGTGATGTTATCACGAATTAATTAGTTTGGATGTTGGAATGGATAGGAGAAATGAAGTTGGGGAAGAACCCAAGTTGTGGATGTTACTTCCAATGGCGAGAATGCAAAATTGTTGTTTTTGACAACTCATCACTTTTAATAACTTCATTATTTTATTTCAACCAATTTATGGTAGTTGACAATGACAAATGAAAGTATGGATTTTCTTCAAATGTATACAAATATAGTTTTTTTATATATAATATTTGAATAAAAATTATCGTCCTCGTTTGGTTTATTAGGTAAGAATTTAAGATTCTCGATCTTTAAAAAAAATAATTTGGAATAAATGTTTCCATCCAATAAGTATTTATCGGGTTAGAGTCATCATTCTTACTTATCATGTAAGATTTTTGATCACCAAAATAATAGAATATAAACATTTTATATCTGATAAGTAATCCACGAATAAGAGTCACCACTGCATTTATTGAGTAAAATCCTCGGTTAACAAACTTTCATGATAAAATTGATGGTAAAGACTTTTGGCAGAACCACAATTGGGTGTGGGTGTGGGTGTGGGTGTGGGTGAGGGTGAGGACCCCCTAATTCTAGTTAGGAATTCGCTTGACTCCTTACAAGCAGGTCTTTCAATAATTTTGAATTATTATCAGTCAAGTACACTTAATTTTGTGCCAATCGGTAGAATTGTGGTGGCTCTTTGCTCTCCCTCATAGCTTGTTCAAAAGAAACATTCATAGAACCAAGGTGTGCAGAAAATCAACCAATCCAATTGGAACCGACTAATTCAATTAGTTACGACCACCATATTGAATATCCAATTGTAATTGGATCGGATCAGATTGAAAATTTCAACATCCCATTTTGATCGGTCGGTTTCGGATGGCAGTCCATAACCGAATCGAACAACATCCAATTAACCATCTGATAACCATTCAGTTGTCCATCCAACCATTATCCAATTAATTTATATTCAAATTGCTTAAATCGGAATTTGTTTTTTTGTGAGCTTTGAATCTTTAACTTCTCTTGTGTTGGTTTTAACACATATTTTGTATCATTGTTGGAGAATTTGATTGAAAATATGTGTTAAAATGTAATTATAATAATTATATAAGGTTTTATTTATAAATGTGTATAATTATTTTAAATGTTCTAAGATAATTATCATACATAATCACTAAAATTATGGACGATAGTCCATAGAAATAGGGTGACCTCCAAATCAAATTTTGGGTGATTCAACATATTAGATTTGTCTCGCAGTTATAACACATGATAATAAATCTTTTTTCTTTTCTATGATACACATAATAGAATTAGGGTTCTTTTGGGTTAGCACCCGATGATAGATCAACGCGTGTTCGTGTGTGGATCAGTTATAGGGAAGACCAATATTGGTTTCTAGATACCTCATCATAATTAAAAAGGTACACTCTCTAAATATCCTATGTTTTGTTTAGATTTGTTTTTATAAGTCATTGGATTCGGCTAAGGCTTTTATGTTTTAGAAAAGTTTTCTAAACGATTTTGTAACATAAAATAATTTTTTCACTGCGTTCAAACGATTACAAATTGCAATAAATACCAACATGACCTGTGGAAATGGCAGTATTGGAAAGACTTGATTTTTTTTCTTCATAAAGTTACCCTAAAAGTTTACTGAATAATCAACTTTCTATAACACTAATTCACTAATAAACAAGCATGTATAGCTAACTTAATAAGATGTGAGTTTCATTAAGTTCATTAAACTGCTTGTTTATATTTCTATGTATGTTTAAATTTAGATTTTTTTTAATATTTGGGGCTACTCTTTGTTTGTATTTTTGCTAAATTTTATATTTAAGTTAATTTATTTATAGTTTGGATTAATTTGTTAATATTTATATTTATGTTAATTTTGGTAACGAGTTTTGAATTTTTTTGGTCATATTATATGTTGTAAACTAAAATGTTCATTAATATCACAAATGGACATGTAATAAACCGTTTTCAGAAGATGAAAGGCTGTAAAAAATAATTGCAAGAGATAACATATTTGTCATTTTTAATGAAATCGTATTTTTATATTATAGTATTTCTTTGATGCTATTAATCCGAAAATTTCCTTGATACGCTTTTGGTCTAAACCAATAAGATGCCAAAAACCATTAAGTTACCCGATAAAAACCAATAAATATTTAATATGCAACCCTCAAATTTATTAAGTTTAAAATCGTATTTTATAGGGGAGGTTTTGTTAGAAACCTAAACTTGACTGGGAACAAAGAGACAACAACCCACAAAGTAATACATGATATATTCATTATGAATGTGTTATTCATGATGAATATTGATCTTTAAAATGAACACATGACACGTAGTGGATGATTACTGATCTCCCGATCAATTTTAAGTTTTTAACGGAACTCTCTTATATGTATAATAAAAAAATGAAAGAAAATTTATGTGATCTTTCTCGAGTAATGTGATAAAAATTTACAGCATATTATATTTTAAAATCATTTTGACCGTCTTAAAACTCGTTTTATTTTACTCATACTACACTTTTTAAATCATAATTCATATGTAAGAGATTAATTTATATAATCATAAAATTAAAATAGATAGTGAGAGTGATAATTCTTATCCGAATAAGTGTTTATCGGGTAAATTGTTGCATAGAATACCGTTTTAATATACTACAATATAATCAGATAAAAAATAAATTATAATGTTGATTCGTACTGGTAAGTGTTTACCGAGTAAGCTTTTGAATAAACGGCCCCTAATACTTTTTATATGATAATATAAATGTTACATTAAATGCTCAAATAATATAGCAATATGAAATGTTTTTGTAAAATGATAAAAGTAGCAAAAATTATTCCATTTCAACAAATAAACTCAATGGCAATATACAAAAACACCAAAAAAAAGATGCATTTTATTGCGGCAGCTATCTATCATTAACAAAAATAAACCAAAATAGAAATACAAATTGAACAATGTATCCAAAGATGGGTTCTGATGACACACGGTATATTGCACACACAAGCATTAAGTAGTAAAACACTTGTTTCTTTAAAGATCTCAACTACAGTATACAGACAGAAAAAGCATGCCAAAGGTTGATAGTGTTTCATGTAAAAACTATTGATTACTTGGTGTTTAGTCAATTTAGATAGTATTTGGTATGCATACAGAACAAAACTAATTGTCTGTCCTATGTTTGGATGACTAGAACAGAACAGGACTGTTAAAATAGTCATATTACCCTTAAATATTGTTCAATGTTATTTTATATCATATAATGATTGTAAATGACAACAAATCAACCAAAAATATATTTAAATCATATAATCTATGATATCAAAACTTTTCTTTAACATTCCAATACCACATGTAAATAACATTTGTCAACCATAAATTTTAAATACGCACATAATTTAAAAAGTTTAAACACAACAATTGTAAATAACATTCGTCACGCCATCATCAAAAGTTTAACGTTTCAAGAATGGAGGCTGGAATCGAGAATGGAGGCTGTGGAAGAGAAGAAAGCGGATGCAATTAAATTATGTTTGTATTTTGATATCAAATAATAAGGGTAATATTGTAATCTTAAATTTAGTCTTACGTTGTTCTACCTTTTTGGTGAAACAAAAAAACTCAAGAATAATTCCACCCAATCTTACCTTTCTCCCATGTTGTCCCATCTCATTAACTCATTTTTGTCCCGTCCCACCTACTCTTTATACTAAACTTAGAGGCATCCATACCTTGTAACCACCAACGTCACCAATCACCATCAAGAAAGGATGTGGGAAATGTCCATATCACCCAACCCCATTCATTTTTGACATCCCCATCCCCACTACCCCTATGCATCATCAACAACATAAAAGCAATTGGAGCTGATCTTATTGAATCAATCAAAGACACAGTTAACATCAACATCATTTGGTCAATGTGGATAGGAACAGCTCTATGACAAATACATTATCATCTGAAGACCCATGTACATAAATAAATAAAAAGTAACTGAATATAAAACACAGTTGAAAAGACTTGGTTCTCCTTGGATAATATAGGCAATCAGCTCCAAACATATTTTTTTCCACTTACAATGTAAAAATATCTAACTCTATGACCAATTGTTTCAACTTTCAGACACAACTCCTCGATTACTCTATGACCAATTGTTTCAACTTTCAGACACAACTCCTCGATTACTCTATGACCAATTGTTTCAACTTTCAGACACAACTCCTCGATTGTAGCAAATGGATAAACTCGGAAATAACTCTTTAATGGTTGGATATAGTAAATCAAACCGTACATGATGTCAATAACTTCGTCCCCAGTAAGTCCATTTCTTTGCAGGTTTCCCCGATGCAAAGCACAATGTGCCTACCACAAAAATGAAGCTTCATAAGCATTCCAATAAGCAATATTTTACATGGTTCATCAATAAGTTCACCATCAGTGATTGCTGGGATCTTCTTGGTTGACTTGACTTTTCAATGGCATACAGGATCCGTATAACTAGCTCACCCAAAAGATTAAGGAAGAAAATTTGTGGGGAACTGTTCAAATTAAGCTTCAGTTCAGGGTCCAAATCAAGGTCCACAACTGACTTGGTAAAAATGTATTTCAATGTCATGTGAAAATAGAAAAGCATAAATATCACGATAATTCTTACGAAGTGTAAAGTGTAATTTTTTTGCATTTTCACAAAAACAACAATTTGCAACAAACCCTTTATGGATCACACTGGCCAGAAGGTTTCTCATTGGTTGAACCCCCCCCCCCCCCAAAAAAAAATATGATGGTTGAAAACCTCAATGGTTAGCCTAGCAGTCGATCACAAGACCTGGTGCCTGTGAAGTATAAGGTTCAGTTCCCACTAGATGATGCAAGCAACTCCTATATGGATCGCACTGGCCAGAAGGTTTAATGTTTTTCCAGACTATGAAGTGAGCATTTTGCAAGAACCTCATAGACTAGTTGATCTGAAGATGCAATCTATCCGTCAATTTATAAGCAATATAACCTGAGACAACAGCCACCCCGCACCAGAATGCTTTTCTAGTTAATTTTGAAGTTTTTTTTGTCAAAATGGTTATCCCTTATCTTTGTTTGGCAAATTGGCTAACCATCCTCGTCTTTGTTTGTAAAACCAAACCTAACCAAACAAACCCAGTATATAAAGCAGGGTCAGGAAGGGGTGGGACGAACACAAACTTGTCCTCTGCCCCAAAGGGTAGAGCTTTTGTTTGTCAGTTGGCAAATGACTGGTATACTTGTGTCTTTCTATAAGTAACCTCTAATAATACCTTCGGGCAGTTCAGGCTGGTCAAATGGAGAACAAAGCGTCTTAGCAGCTCCTGTCTCCCCTTTTGTCTTTGTTTTCACATCCTTCTCAACTTCCTGAAGCATCAGCAAATGCACAAGGCGTGTATAATGATAAATAAATGTGGACCAAAAGGGTAAATAACTGAAACATAGCAGGGCGTAAAGGAGGAGAGAAGATTGAGTTTCGCCTTCGCATCCTTCCACAAATGAGGTTAAAGCATGCACTTTCATGTTATAGGGCTACAACGTATTACCTCTTCATCGCACCATGGAGCCAAGATCAATTTCTTTTGGCTTAATGCTTCAATGAATTCATCCCAAGTTTTTGCAACTTGAACACAGGCATCTCGTTTTTGCTTAGCAACATCAAACATGCTTTGCTGAATATCATCCAGCATACCCTTTACTTTATCAACCAAACCGTCCATAGGAATATCAATTTTTGCTGCATTGTCACGACGAACAGCACGCACCTGAAAAGAAACCCACATCAGGCTTTGCATGGAACAGTTGCAGTTTGTAACAATGATGCCAGGTAAGTCTTACCTGGTTATTGGCCAGGTCTTTTGGTCCTATCTCAATCCTCAAGGGAACACCTTTCATTTCCCAATGAGAATACTTCCAACCAGGTGAATAATTCTCCCTAAGGTCCGCTTCTGCACGAATACCTGAATCACATAAAGCTTTTACGGTGGCTGAACATGCATTTAATATTTCCTTAATATCTGCATCTTTGTAAGGCACATGAATCACAATAACTTGTATTGCTGCAACTTTAGGGGGTAAGACCAGGCCTCTATCATCCCCATGAGTCATCACCATCACCCCAATCTGTAAACATTACAGTTCAAAATCAAAAAAGGAGAAAAAGAAGTTCCAAAATGAAAATTGATCATTGTTATCACTATCACCAGATACTAAAGATAAATACACCCCAGATCAATAACTGATGATACTAAAAAACAGAACACTGGAAACAGTTATCAATGATGCTAGGACAAGGGTTTGTGATGGTCAAGGATTGCAGTGACAGATACAGCCTTTATGCAAAATGCATGGGATATGCACTTCTCTACCCAAGCCTTGTAAAGCCAAGAAGCTTTGGTCCATCAGAGTAGTCTTCTACTACTTAAAAAGGGTCATGCTTGTCACAACTAGCAAGGTTACTCCTTTGTGATTGGATGGTCACAGGTTCAAAGCACGAAAACAGCTTCTTTGCAAATGAAAGACTGCATACACTTACACAGACTTCCCTTCCAAACCTTGGTAAAGCCAAAGAACCTTGATACACTAGGGTCACCCTTTACTACTTGGAGGGTAAGCCCTGGAGCAACTAGTATGCTTCTTTGTGATTGGACAGTTAAGAGGTTCAAGTCACAAAAATAGCCTCTTGACAAAATGCAACAAAAGACTGCATGTACACACTTCCCTTTCCCCACCCTCAGAACACCGAGCCTGGTGCACCATGATCACCCTTTACCACTAGGGCTGGGTAAAGTAAATATAAACCAAATTGTCCAAGGAAACATTTTTATCTAAAGTTTTTCTATTGCCTTGTGATTGCAATGGATGCAAAATGTAAATACAACTACAAAAGATAATGGAATCAAGTACATATACGATGCATTGATGCCTAGCCTAAAACTTGTTACATAAAATTTAACACCTTTTGCAAGGCTCAAAGGAAGTTTTCCAGTTACCGTTCTAGTACTGTATGCCCAGGAATTTTGCCAGACCATAGCCTTTTCTCCCTTCTCATCTTCAAAGTTAATCTCAAACATCTTAGCAAAATTTTGGCCCAAGCAATGTGAAGTTGCACCTTGAACACCACGGCCAGTATTCGGAATAAAGGCCTGCAAACATGCAAGCACTTATATGACCATAAAATGGAATTTAACAATTCATAATTTATAGCATCTTATAAGTACCTCAACACTAGTAGTATAAAGTCCACCGGCAAACTTCTCCATCTCACTTTTTTTCCCTTTCACAACAGGTACAGCCAAGTACTCCTCATATAGACGCCTATACAGTTCAAGGACTTCGAGAACCTAAGAGACATCATTAGTCAGAGTCAGATTGAAAAACCACCTTATAAAAAACCATTCCATTTTAACGCTTAAAACAGTTGTATCAGTAAATGGCATTTTTTGCTTTTGTTGAAATCGGAGATCAATGAGATGCACCAGACTCCAGATAGATGTGAAAAGATTACACATGTGTTTAAAAAAAAAAAATTTATACCTCAGTGTCTGCCTCCTCCTTCGTTGCAAAGGCAGTGTGTCCTTCTTGCCAAAGAAACTCACGGCTCCTATGATAACCAGGAGTTTAGCACTTTAACAATTGATTTAAGACCAAATTCAAATTGTGATCATCATGCAAGAGCAAATTGACTAGTATAAAAATCATGTCATGCAATGAGTTGGCATGCAAAATAACCGGGGCATATGAACAAGCACCGAATAGCACCTGATAAATGGAGTGGGATTACTGAACTCCCATCGAACAACATTGCACCATTGATTAAGTTTTAAAGGCAAGTCACGGTGTCCCCTGATCCACTTAGAAAAATAGGGATACATGACAGTTTCACTAGTTGGGCGAATGGCAATAGGGACTTCCAAATCAGAGTCACCTGATCTCGTGACCCAAGCAACCTGAAAGATTTAGATCAGGGAAAGCATCAAAAGTAGATTGCGGTAACAAAAGCAATATACATTAGAAAGCCATAAGCTAAGACGCCAAACATTGTGACAGATAGAAGTTCTTGGTCCAAATTTCTACTACTGACCTCAATTGGAAATCAACATATTCTCTTGACTCACTTGCAAAAGTGAAGAAAAACCTTACATCGTAACAGTAAGATATGTGTTGTGGCCCTCAACAAGTCTCAAAATAACTCAAGATTCTATGCAACTACAAGTTGTAAAGAATCTTATGTTCAAACTGTGCTAACTGAAGTTGGCACCTAGGATGTCTGGGTCTCGGTGAATCATAAACAAACCAACATCAATGTAATAACGGCTATTGGTGCAAATCGTATCGTGCAGGGTTCGGTCAAAATCAGCAAATATGGTCAACTTATTCTCTCGACATAGTTAGCATCACCTCTTGCCCAACACAGATGCATACTGCATACATAAACAGTATTGTAGTAACACATTTATGGTAGCACTAGATCATGATACAAGCAACACCAAGAAATTTATCATGTCAACATCTCGTGGCAGCTACACCTTGGTAAAAATTCAATTGCATTGGTTAAATTCTTGGAGGATCTTCAAGTTCCATATCAATCATACACGTTCAGTAACTAAAGTTCACCAAAGCACACTCAGATGAAAACGAGAATATAAAGTATATAAATCATACCTCAGGAGCAAACCCCTCTATGTGATCCTTCTCCTTTTGTAACACGTTATTGGATACAAAAAGCGGAAAATAGCAAGTTTTAATCTTCATCTTCTTAATTTCTGCATCAAAGAAGGTCTGCATAAAGATGTTAGAAAATGGTTTAATTCCATCACGTCTTTCCTAACTAGTGACAGAAAAACTTAAACAAAAAGAGCAAGGCACATATCAGGAACAAAATGATTAAACTTAATGTTCCATGCTTACTTGCATTATCTCCCAAATGGACATTGTCCATGGCCGGAGAATGTAACAGCCAGATATTTCATAATATTCTATCATTTCACCATTTGTAACAACCTATAGGAGCCAAAGAAAACGAGTTAGAGAAGAATAACCACAATTCTGAAATGAATACATATCTAGTCCATTTTCTATATATTGTTGCTGTGAAACGACATATGTATCTAGATCACAGCAAGTGTCCAATGATATACTATCCAATCACAGGGGCATTTAATCTATAGGTAGCATCTAGTATGGAACACTTGTCACATTGAATAGTTGCTTGTGTTAAATGTCTTTACAGTGACAAGTAAAGAAAATCATTTCATATTCTCTTACATTTATTTTGTTACATAACTTTTTCCTCTTGATGGTTCATATATGAAATCTTTATCATGTGGATATAAAACCAAATAGAATTGGAGTGTCAGCTTTAATGCATTTATCCCTCCTGCATTTCCTAATTCAAATTAGGAAATTATAGCATACAAAATACATGGAAAGCTGGAAATACAATAGAATACTCGTGCACATGGTGTACCTCAGAATACCATTCCCCAAAGTTGCCGTCTTTAGTATTTGTAAGACCCAGACCTGTCTCCTTTTTCCTTCCCTCTGCAATCACAATTTCGATGACAGAATTACATAGGGAACATAGATACACCTGTTTTTATATCTAACACTCAAGCATCTGTGTATGTGTGTGAGACAGAAGCTGGGCTAAAAGTGGCTTTTGAGGTCAAACATAACCCATCTTAAATAAAGATATGGATCCTATTGCTAATCTAAAACAAAAGTCAGCTATTTGTGAGGTTTGTTATAGAAGTAATGTATCTATCAGCTTTTCCTTGAAACATTGATGATTTCGCAGTTGTTAATCAAGTCTTCTGATCTTGCAACAAAGTTTAATTTATAATCTTTACATATTTTCCAGTACAGGCAACATAATTTGGGTATGCATCCACTAATGCGGATACTAAACTAACAATTAACATCCACCTTGTATAATGGCGTAGGGAAGAAAAATACTGCAGTTAAGGAGATAATGTTTAACTTAGTAATCGAGTTTTCAACAGAAGTATTAGGATTTTAAAAACATTTAAGATTAAACATCAATATATCTCATTTTCCAATCCAATAATCTAAAGCAAACAAATCCATGAGTATTGTACCATTGTAGCGTGTGTGTGTGTGATGGAAGAAGCTAGAATTCAGTTATAAAAACACCCACTACTAGATTTGGCAACAGCAGCAGATTTCTTGGCATTATCAGGCTTGTCTCCCTTTCCACCAGCCATGTCTTTGACTTTCAGCTGCAATGAAACTCCAGACATTTAGATATCCATAAGAAAAGAGAAATTGAGATAATGATTTGGAACTAAGTAAGAACATGCCTGATTTCTAGTAATTACAGAAGGGCGTTAAGTTCTTGCTTTAAGCGAAGCACAAATGATCGGAAGTCGTTCACAAACCAGAACAAGCAAGAACCTCTCCGCCGTTCGAATTCTTGTTGCTGCTTTTCCGGTCAACCGCCGGCGTCGCAGCAATTCTGGATCGAGGGAAAAAGATTAAACGAAGGCTATCAGTATGCAAAGTCGTGGGGGCGACTGCAATCCAAACCTAGCTTACCTAAATAAGTTGCAACTTTGACTTGTAAATTTTGCACCCTTTAACTTTTATATCATTTTCACTTGCTTCAATCTTAATCTTACTAAATTCTTAACAAAATAAAGAATGAAATCAATTAAATTGTGATGTCAAAACACAAAATCTTGAATACACATCTTTTAGTATATGAGTAAGATTTTGGGTTTGTTAAATCCATAGAGATTTTTTTACTTATTTTGAATGGTTATGTAGGATTGTAGAGGCGTTTGTGGTGCACTACGATGATCGACAGAAGCATACCTATAGGTAGAATTGCAACAGATCAACAAAAGCAGAACCATCAACAAAATTGACTGGGACTTGGTCTAGTAGCAAGTCAACAGTTGGCACTGAGGGAGGAAAATCATGTAGCAGAAAATCGAATTGGGGGGTAAGCGTAGCAGTTCCATGCAGTAAGGCATGAGCAATGTTAGATAGAAGCGTTGTACACTCGTGCATATGGAATTGGGGGCTAGTAGTAGGCGCTTGACTTGCATTATCCTCTAACCTATTGCATTGGACCACATTCCATGATTACATATGATTTCAGTTAAAATCACATGTGATTTAGTCGTTTTCGCGTTTTTTTTATTTTGACTATGTTTTCATTTGATCCTCCCTACATATATACATATGTGTGTGTGTGTGTATATATATATATATATGTGTGTGTGTGGGGGGGGNGGGCGATAATCAAATGAGAACCACAAAAAAGTTATAAACTCGTGAGAACCGATATAAAAATATTTTTTATATGATTTTTTTCATCAAAAACAATAATTTAATATATAGTTTCAAAGAAATATGTTTGTGTTCACCTTATAAAAAACTTGCATGTTAATTTTTTTTTTTCACTTGGTGAAACAAAAAACTTGCATAAAATATATTCACGTGGTGAAACAAATATATTTGGAACTATCACATGATGAAACAAATATATGTGAAGCAATATCTTAAATCATAACATTTGATGGAAAAAATCGTGCAAAAAATTATTTTAAAATCAGTTCTCACGGGTTTGTAACATTTTTGCGGTCCTCATTTGGTTTGCCCCCTATACACACACACACACACACTATTTGTGTACTCGTACAATACAATGAAATTCTAAACCCGAGAACTCAAATCCTCAGTCCAACTTTTTGCTTATTTGTTTTTATGATTTTGCATGGTTATCAAATGTGAATAAATTATCATTTAATTCATGGTGAATGTGGTTGATTATCAAGACCTATGGAAAGACCATAGTCTAGTTGTATACCCGCACAACACTTTTAGAAATAGGTAGCGGTGCAGTTGATGGTGGTGGTGGTGGTGGTGGTAGTAATGGGCTGACGACGACGATGCTAGTGGAGGTGAAAGCAACGGTGGTAACTACCGTGATAGCGACGGTGGTGGCATCCATTATGACACCCCAAAATTGGGTAAATAAATAAATATGAAAAGAAAGAGAAAAATAAAATAAAATATTTGACCAAAAATGTAAAGAAAACATGAAAAGTGGCCAATTATGCCATTTAATATAAGTAAGAAGTCAAAAAAGAGAGTTTATATTCAATCGTACTATAAAATGTAAAATCAATGGTGAGAATGTAATATTGGCTAAAGTGTTGAAGCTAGGGGACCGAATGTCATTATCTGATAGTTCAAGGGGTGTCAGATGTCAACTTTCTCATATTTGATGGACTTATTTAGTAAAAAGTACAAGTATATTATTTGAAAACGATGTGACGATGGTCGAACTTTGAAGTATGGTATTGGCTCGTTTAGTAGACAAATAAGCCAAAAATTTACATGTTTAAGTAGTCAACACCTTCATTTACATCTATGTTCAAGTAATTTCAAAAAAACACGAAGAAACAAAAGAGAAATCGAAGCTCAAAAGTCCCTACCTAATATCTCGATTTATCGTCATTTTGAGGTAAAATATTCAACCAAACATCGAGTTCTTTCTATGGTTAGCTTTGTTTTTCAATCTTCTATCGAACCTTAGGTGGCATTTGGTTTCCAAAATGTTTTTAGATGGAATGGAATCTATTAAAGAAATTTGACTTTGAAAGAATTGAAATGTAATATTGTCATGTTTGATCACATGTTTGGTTGGCAGACATCGAAATGGAATCTGTTAAGAAATTTGAATATGTCTGTTTGGTTCATAAAATGTAGCTTTGGAATTTTAATGAAATATTAGTAAATGACCAAAAGGCCCTTTTTTGAATTTTTAAATTTTTTAAAAACCAAAAATACTTTAATAAATCGGCGATGGTTCAGATAAAGGTGGTTTAAATGGCGGTTGTCAAAGGTGGTTCAGATCGACAGTGGTTTAGATCGGCGGTGGCGGCAGCGGTTTAGATAGGTGGTTGTTTAGATCGTTGATGGTCAACGATTGGTCGACGATGGTCGGCGGTGATTCAGATCGGAGGTAGTCGTCCATGGTCGATAGTGGTTCAGATTGGTGGTGGTTCAGATGGCGATGATCGGAGGTGGTTCAGGTTGGTGATGGACAGTGGTGGTTCAGATGGTGGTGGTCGACAGTGGTTTAGATAAGTGGTGGTCCACGGTTGTTCAATTGGTGCTGATCGGTGGTGATTCAGATTAACGGTGGTTTAAATCGATGGTGGGTCAGATCAACGGTGGTTCAGATTGGTGGTGGCGGCGGTGGTCGGCGGTGATTCAGATCGACGGTGATCAGAGATGGTCGATGATGGTCATATTGGGTTCTATGAGATTAGGGTATATTGGGTTAAAGAAATATTTGGTATTATGAAAATAGATAATTCCATTTCATCAAAATATCACGTAGTTGCTAAGGAATGTTAAATTTCTTTATTTGTGAAATGTATAAGATTTTGAAGATTTCTTTTGTCAAAAAGAATAAACCAAACGAGGGAATGAAATTTGATCAATGAAAATCAACGTTCTAATTCTATCAGATTTATTTAGAATATGCGAACCAAACGTCCCCTTAGTATATCTCATATTTTAGTTGAGAAGATCCAAGTTTGAGTTTTTTTTTTTTAATTTTAGAGTTGTGTTTAAACTGAAAATTTAAATGAGAAAAATGAGACTCGATAGTTGACGATTTTCGTTGATTAGTGTTTTTATTGTTAAGGAAAATAATTTTCTAAAGTTTTTTTTTAAGAATATAAACAATGGACAAATGAGGTCAAACAACCTTGAAAAGGGACAACCATGATTTGAGGATGTAGATGCCTCAGCCGATGAAAACGGCCGGACATTGACTGATTGGCCGGGCCACAGATGGGTCGGGTCGATTTCCTCCTTCTAGGGCCTGGGTCACATTTGATTGGATCGGATTGGATTTATTAATTTAGTTTTGAGCCATTACGAGATTAATAAAAGTATATTTAAATTTAATTATGTATTATGTATTTCATATGTAGTTGGGTTTCAAGATTATTGAGATGAGATTTGTTATATCAGATTTTACTTAATTATTTATTTTAGAGATTTAATATTTTAGAGTTTGAAATGTTTAGAACTCTATATAATTTCAAGAAAATATTTTAATTAAGTTATTTTTTGTTTTATTTAATATATTTGATTTTAATTAATATATATTAATACAATTTATAAATTAATTATTTATTCGGAATGGGGTATTAACTTAATAAATCATAAAATTTGCGTAGATGATTTATTAATTAGATTAACGTGTCGTAATTGGGTTTATTAATTATTTTTGACACTTTAATTTAAAGCAGGTAAATTATACAGTTATTTATTCTTAAGAAGTACTGTATTAAATTATTTAAGTTAACTAATTGATTTTGAAATTTAGCTAAAGTGTCAGATTGATTAAATTGGATTTTAGAACTTCATTACAAAATGGGTAATTTATATAATTATGAAGAATAAATTTGAGGTTTTGGGACCTCATCAAGTTTTAAACTTGGGGTTTAACAAAGTCAATCGATGTTGATCAATGGTTGACTTTTACCTTGTTTAACCCATAAGGATCTTAACGATGAGATCAAATGGAGATAATTGAGACATTAAGAGACTCGGTCTTTTTGGAGTTTGACTTTTGGTCGGTTGTGTTTGACCAATGTTGACTTTTGGAGCAATAAAGTCATTAATTGGATATCATGGTATGAAATGTATAGGTCTTTGGTCAAGAGCTATCAGTAGTCGATAGACACGGATATACGAGTCTTCACGAGACTTACAATGGGGTATATACATATGTATAAATTAATTTTTGAGCATGATATCTTTTATATGGGGATGTGTACATATGCATGATGTTTCAGTTTATATACATGATACAATATATTTTACATGTATGTTATTTGTTGGTTTCAAAATCTAATGACCAACACACAGTGTGTTTGTAGAAGGAGGTTGAATTTAAACACAAGCAAATTTTTCACTTTTAATTTTGTATGTTGATTGAAAACAAAGAATTACAATTTCGTTGCGAAAACTAAGAAGGTAAGATTTGATCCTAAGCATCTGACTTGTGACAAATTTGCTAACAACTAAAAGAGTGAGAATAAGCTACTTTTTTAGATCTTAAAGAAAAAGTCCTTTAGATGGTTGACGCTGCTTTTTCCTAAGAAATATCACTCAAAATTCCTTTAAAAAATGGGTGAGTTAAAACAAATGACAAGGACGACCTTTTATAACCATCAATGCATTAAATGCAACTATCCAACTTTAACGCGTGTCTTTATTTGATCTGTTGATCAGTGCATGTTTGTACTCTTCATTTCAGTTTCTGAAGTTGATATAAGCATTTGTTAACCCAACACACGTTCTGTATGAAGAGAGAACAATAAGGGAAGTATGGTACTAATAAACTAGTATTTTAGTGTCTTCTCTTCTAAGAGAGACACGGGGATCGACTGTAAATCCTTCCTTGACCAACATCAAACAAGTCGAGACAGAAGGTGTCTGAGGAACACGGACTGAACCTGGCTCATGTGTTGAGC